TATCAATATTGTTTTTAAACAATTTAATCTTCATTTAAATTTCTAAAAATTATTTTATACTTTTGAAGTCAACACAAAGTCAAATAATAATTAAATATAAAACTAATACGTCAAATCTTCAACAATGTTATTCTCTATAATTTTTGTAATAGATGATTTTTCTGTATGATTGCTCAAAAATCAATGATTTTAAATTATAAAAATACATTTTAGATTAATGCATTTTATCCATGTTACACATAGATTGGAGAATGAAAACAAATATTATGCTGACATCTTTTCAGAGTATTTTTCTTACTAATTAAAAAATAAAAATTTTATTTATGAAACTAGATAATAATATATGTCATAAAAAAACCCATTATAAAGTGTTTTACTGATGAGTTTTTTCAATCCATAAATATAATAAAAATAATAATATATGTATAATTTTTTAATACAAAATATAACATTAATGTTTTTTTAGCATTTTAAATTTTACAAAAGACTCAGATTATGCAATGACTATGGCAGATAATTTGCTTGATTTAATGACTGGTGGTGATCATCGTAAAACTAAACGTGTGTTAGATGAGCGAAAAAAACAACAAGCTGTCTTAGATGATAGCAAGAAACCAATTAGTCAGTTACATCAGCCTTCATCATGTCAACCCTTAGCAACTTCACTAATTAATACAGGAAGTTCAAATACTACAACTGCTAACCATCAAACTAAAACTGCTCCAATACAAATTGATCAGTTAAAATCATTATCAGAACTTGGAATTGATACAAAATTTATAGATTATTATCGTAAGTATCAAGTATTAATTATTATTATTTATTTCACATATATATATATATATATGTATTTATTTTATATTTTAGAAGAACAAAGTGTATTTCAAGATAGGTTGGATCATGTTGGTGGATTGCTGGGACGTTTACAAAACGTACAAAATCAACGATTGAGTGCGCCTCTTCCACAACATCTTTCACAAATTGCACATCCATCACCACAGGAAATTCAATTAGGTAATATAAATATAATATAATATTATAAATTTAAAAATCATTAATATATTTATCATTATTAGCGGATAAAATAACTGAATCTCTTGCTGAAAATTTAAAAAGAGTTCCACCATCAGCCGTAATGTCTGTCACAGGAGTACGTAAAGCTATGGGGATTGCACAAATATCCCATTTGGAGTTGAATCAAAATAACTGTAATCCTCCAAATTTGGTAAATCATGGATCATCCCATCAACAAACACAGGTAATTTATTAAATTATAGATTTTTTAACTATACTAAATTTTTATAAGCACTATAAACTATTTAATAGGTATCATTAATGGGAGATGGAATACAAGATCGCGTGGAAGGTGTTGAAGGTACTGTGTCAGGTGTTGATTTAGAATCTGAATTAAGAGAATTTCTTGAAAGTGATCCTACTTTAACTAGTTTTCCATTGCATGATGAAAATGATCGAACAATTGAAGAGATATTATCTGAATCATAATATTTTTAATTATATGTATTATTGGTTGTTGTTTTTTTTTTTTTTTGTATTAATATTAAATATTAACTAAAACAACTATAAATGTTGAACTTAAAAAATTTATATGAGAAATCAACTAAAATAATTAATAAATAATTGAATTATAGTTGGTAAACTATCTTATTTGCATTTAATTTATTTATTAGTTTTTAATTAAATTTTAAATTTTAACTTTAATTGAATTTTATAATTTAAGTAAATATTTTTCAAATTTAAATCTATAAAATGCATTAAATAAATTTTCTGAATTTTTAAATATAATATTATATAATGTAAATTTTATAATCAAATTTACAATTTGTGAACATCATAAATGCATGTAAGTAAACAATGAATTAATATATATACATTTTTTTAATAATATTTACAAATTAATTATTATGTATTTTATATTAATATTTATGGTATAACAAATTTACATTAACAGATTTAAATTGTACAATGTATTGTGTTAATCATGATGAACTTTTTTTAGAAAAAAATAATGTTTTAAATATATTTTTGTTTGTTAAAATAGTCTCCAAGTGAACTATGAATGCTGGTATATTTAATTTAAAATATGCTTCTCAATATTATTTATTTTTAGATTATATAATTCAGCAGGTTCTTATAATAACTAAAAAGTAAACATACATTATTTATAGTAACAAATTATATAGATTATAATGTTTTTTAATTTCAGATTTCAAAAATATTAAGATTCAATTATAAAAATCTATGTTAAATAACTTAATTTTATTCTTTTGATCTTATCCAAATACATTAGCATTTTAAGATAAACTTTAAGCTTATTATTATTTGTATACATGTATACATCTAGTCTTTTTAAAAATTATTATTACTTCACGGATATGTATATTTTTAAAATAGATAGTTAAGTATGATGTGTGTGTACCAATAATTGTAGGCATTGGATCTTATTTTTTTTTTTTTTTTAGTAAACAAAAATTTATTTTAATTTTTATTCATAGTATTTTTCAATTTTTTAAAGTCATTATGTTTAGTATATATAAATAAATATATATATTTTTCATAGGTAGTATAAACTGCAATATAATATGGTCATTACTGTTCAATTAGTGTGGGGGCAAACTTTGAAATTGTATTAGTCATTACTTATTATACTGCTGAGTAATAACTCTGTTTACAAAATAATTTAATTATAACATAGTATTAGTTTGGGTTAGGTATTTGAACATTTTTGTAGTAAAAATTCTTATAATACTGAATATAATTGTACTAAGGCTTATAAAATATAAAAATAAAAGTTTTAACGGTAAAGTAAATACAATTAGTATTAAAAATATGTTATTGATATCATACATATTTCATAAAACAATTAAATATTAACTAGGTAGTTATGTATCTATAAAAAAAATGTTTATATATAAATAATTATTTTTATTGAAATTAAAATCTTTAATGGAACAACACATCTTTAGAAATATTCTTCTCTTGGGTTTAAAGCTCTTGAGATCAAAATATTGCTTATGAGCAGTAAATGCGTAGAAATATAGAATACAGATCCATGAAATTAGCCCCTCCTCCCAACTTAGACATAGAGACTGCAAACTTTTAGCAACAGCCTACCAACATCTAAAATGTTCTATTCAAAATGTATGGCCTAAATTAATGTTTTATAAATGGAAACCAACATAACAATTTTTAGTTTAACTTAACTGTCTCCTAACTTGATTTTGTTGATCATAGATTTTTGCCAATATTTAGCTACTTTTTAGTTATTTAATTTAGCACTACTAGTCCATAAAAAATGTATAAAGATACATCACATACAATATAAGTACAACATTTTTCAAGTATAAATTAAAAATTGAGCTTTTCATCTCAATTAGAATATATTGTTAACAATTCTATAACATTTTGAGGTTTATTCCATGAATACAAAGTAATTTTTTTCTCATCTAAATATCTAACATTCTTTCTTCTTTTAAATTTAACATTAGGTATGGATTTTGGTAGAAAGTAAGTAAATGGTGCTCTCGAGTTTCAAGAAAATTCATACTACTTTTTTTAATTATTGAATGGTATGAGTGGAGGGAGGGTGAAATTAATGAAAAATGGGAATTTTTACACTAAACTAGTTTATTTAATTTTTTTTTTTTAATTCAAAAACAATTAATCGTAGAAACTTGAAATTTTCACCAAATATCTATATTATCATTTTTTATGTATAGTATAATTTTGATTGTTTTTGAGCTTTTTATAAATAATTGAAATATAAGATATTTTTTTTAATGTCAATATTAAAATCTTCATGGATAATTTTTATGTAAATGTATTATACATTTTTATTTTACACTATTATGTTTTAAAAATAGGTAGATTCCTTTTAGATATTACCTAGGCATTTATTCCATAGACACTATCTATTGGCAGTTGAGGCCACAGTAAAACAATATTGTAAAGAGTGAAAAAAAAATTAACTACCTTATCTAACAGTAAATATTTTCTATTTTTAAGAATAATTGTGTTTGCATGAAATTTTTTTTTTTTTTTTGAAAAGCACAATCTAATTTTCAATCTATTGAAAATACAAAGTAAAAATTAATGTGATTTTTGATTTTGAATAGCATTGACAAATTTATTGATCGTAGGTTTGATTTTCGATGTAGAAATTCTCAATACATCATTCAAATGACGATTCGTTGGATATTGACTATTGACGTAGATAACGTGCAGATAAAATGTAAGATTAAATTAAGTAATAAATACCAGTTATTATCAACCAACATAATGTGATATTCCATATTTTTATACCAATTATAAATTGTAGGTAATCGCGGGCCGCAGGTTGCTGACCCCTGACTCCTGAGGTATAGTTTAAATTTTAGAGGAAAAAAGCTTTTCGCCTTAGGTTAGGTCAATATCACGTCGAGTGTTACTGCTGGGTAGCTACTCCCCTCATGATTTCACTGCCAACTGTACTTTTCAACTCATATGCTTATTGTAACTACTATTACAGATTGTATATATTCAAATAAATGTTAAAAAAAAAAAAAGGTTAGGTCGTATTTAAGTATAGACTTATAGTAACAACTAAAATTTAACACTAGTAGGTAATAAATTTATCAAATTAGGAGGTACTACGTAACGTTTCTAAGGTAATTTGAAGCCACGCATAAACTCTAATTTATTTTATATAGAAAAAGCCATAATTCTCGTGAGGATGTATGAATTATAAACAGAGAAAATTATGAAAGCATGTCTTTTGAATCGTATATGATTGATTTAAAACGGTAAATGCATTACAATATTTAATTCCTAATCTATAATAGATAGCCGTAGGTGTTTGAATTGCGCGCGCTTTCCGTCGCACATCGTTGACGAGATGCCGGTTATGTTACGCGTGTCATCGATGAGTCGGTTCGTACTAATCGTACTAGTGTGAGCGAGACGGGATGGCGTTAAAAGAATAAAAAAATAACATAAAATGTGTATGTGCTAACTGCTTATCGACTTTATGAATTTTATCGTAACACATTCTCTGTACGGTCGATTTTCGAGCTTCACCGAGATTTCGTCTACTGTTAATTTTTTGTCGTGTCTGCACTCGCCTGTCACAGTCCCGTTTTATTTAACACACTCTTGCTTTTATCTTATAAATATATTTAATTATTCAATATTAATTATTTGTACGAATAGACTAATTACGACATTTCGCGCACACGGACTATTATCTAAAACAAATTAAGGTATCAAATATATTTACTAGTATTGTCGTCGACCATTTTTTTTCTCGCAGTTCTTTAAACTGCATTTCACTAATTGACGGGACTTCTTGAATATTTGGCGTTAGCATGATAATGGCCTGGCAACCGCAAGAAGAAGGATTACGGCAAATAATTCAGCTGCTTAAAGAATCCCAGTCGCCTGACACGGTTATACAACGGACTGTACAACAAGTATCCTTTTTATTTAACATGTTTTTACTCACTGTCAGGTTTGTATGTTTAGTGTGATGAATTATAACCACCTGTTCAAAAATTGTCTTCATTTCAAAATAAGTTAGGTATACGTAAATATTTTGTCAGTTAGCAGTAATCCTAACATTTCACAACTACCTACCTAATTAATTTTTTCATTAATAATGGAGTAGCACCCAGTATGATTACTATTTACTGTATAAATATTTGCATTTATTTATTGTTATTAATAAAGTAAGATGTTTTCAAATATGGTATTAAAATTCTAATAACTACTTTGATTACCTATACATTTGCATTAAAATTTTAGTATTTTGAAATATTTGGTTTATTTTCTTAATAAATATCCATGCTGCACAAGTTGTATAGTCTCAAAGTTAAACATTTTTTTTTTTTAATTGATGACTAATTATATGTTTATGGGAATCAACATAACTTAGTAGTAAATTTTATATTAAGTTAGCTATTGTGAATTATTTTACTATTAATAGATATGCTGTAAGTTAATAGTGGTGTCACATTTTTATAATGTATTTTAAAACTTAGGTACCAAGTGCATTTTTAATTATTGTAATAGTATAAAGGTCAAAATATTAAAATATTTTATGTAGGATAGGTACCTTACCAAATCTTAGTTTTTAATATAAAACATTTTTTTATTGTGTTATTTTAGTTTAAACAGATGAACCTATTAATAGTTGTATACCTAAATGCATTAAAATTTCAAATGACATTTTGCATAAATTAATTTAAAACAGTCACATAATTATTTTATTATTCATAAATTCTTAAATATTTATCCTGGTATTAACTATTCTATATCTAAAAAAATTGTATATTATTACAAAACTTTTAATAACATTCAGTGTACTACTACATTTAAATTTATAAAAATATTTATTATTTATTAAAAAAATATCAGGTTTTTTTAAAAAGTTTTTACTGTGAACTATTCATGGAGTAATTTATACCTAATTAATCTGTTTGCTGCAGTTATAATAACTTTTTTCAATATTATACATAATGTTTTTTTAGTTATATTAGTAATGATTTCTTTAAAATTATGACATACTTAGTGCAATGGTAATATTTATATTATATTTAATTAGTTTTAAATAATTTATTTGAACCAATTAGAAAATTTCCTTAATAAAATAATCCAGAAATTGGAAGAGCTCAATCAAGTAACAGACTTTAACAATTATTTGATATTTGTATTGACAAAACTTACTTCTGAAGGTATGTATACTTTTTTTTTAATTTTAGCTATAATATAGTTTTTAATTTAACAATAAATATTCTAGATTTATTTATTTTTTATGTTTATGTTTAATTTTAATTAATTCGTTGATATGTAAATTATCATAATTTATTTTTTGTATTACTTAAGTACTCCGATTTATGATTTTATTATATAATAGCAATTTATTTTTTTAGATGAGCCTACAAGATCATTAAGTGGTTTGATATTGAAAAATAACATCAAGAGTCACTATGAAAATTTACCTCCTACAGTCACAGAGTTTGTAAAGTCTGAATGTCTAACTGCAGTTGGAGATACTTCAGCTTTAATAAGAGCAACTGTTGGAATTTTAATCACAACAATAGCATCTCGTGGTATCAATACCTGGCCTGAACTTTTACCTGCTCTTTGTCAAATGCTTGATTCTGCAGATTATAATGTTTGCGAGGTACCTAATTATTTTTAATTCATTTATATTAGATAATTGTATTTTAATTAGAGATACCTAAAGCCTTGTTTTTTTTTCATTATAACCTATTCTAAACATTATTTTTATTAATAATGAAATCATAAAATCATTATTTTCATAGTAATAATAAAATAAAATCAGTTATTTAATTTTAAAGTTTATTTTAATATTTTTTTTTGTGGTTTATAATAGGGTGCTTTTGGAGCTTTACAAAAAATATGTGAAGATTCATCTGAATATTTAGAAGACGATCGACAAAACAAGCCACTTGATATCCTTATTCCAAAGTTTTTACAATTTTTTAAACATTCAAGTCCAAAAATTAGGTAAAATTTACAGTGTTTCTTTTATTAATATTTATTGTATTTGTAAAATTTTATTAGTAAATATAAAAGCTTAATAATTAATTTTTCACTTAGTATAAAATACTAAAATATTTTATTATTTTTATACTGTTAATGTATTTAGATCACATGCGATTGGATGTGTAAATCAATTTATTGTACAGAAAACACCATCCTTAATGAATCACATTGATATGTTTTTAGAGGTAATATTTAATATCAATAATGTTATTAGTCATATTTAAAAGTATAATGTGTTGAATAATAATTCATTTATATTTTGTTTTAGAATTTATTTCATTTGGCTGTTGACGATGAAGCAGAAGTCAGAAAAAATGTTTGTAGAGCAATTGTTATGCTTCTAGAAGTAAGAATGGATCGATTACTTCCCCATTTACATGATATTATTGAGGTTAGTAAATTAGTTTCTATATTTTTTTATATTATTTAAAAATAATAATTATAACACTTATATTTATATACTTTTGTTTAGTACATGTTGTTAAGAACCCAAGATCCAGATGAAAATGTTGCATTAGAAGCATGTGAATTTTGGCTATCAATTGCTGACCAACAAATATGTAAAGAAGCTCTTACACCATATTTACCTAGACTAGTACCTATTCTTGTTAACGGAATGCGATACTCGGAAATAGATATAATTTTATTAAAGGTTAATTCTTATAAAAATCTAAATGTATAAAATATTTTTAATTTTAATATGATATATTATTTATTATTCAGGGTGATGTTGAAGAAGATGAAAATGTTCCTGATCGTGAAGAAGATATTCGCCCTAGATTTCATAAGTCGCGTAATACACATGGTAATGAAGAAGATAATAATGATGAAGAAGATGATGATGAGAATGTAGGAGATGATAACAGTTTATCTGATTGGAACTTAAGTGAGTACTGAATTATTAATATAAAAACTACTATTTATATTTTATTGTTTATTTAATTATAATTTTCATAATTTAGGAAAATGTAGTGCTGCTGCTTTAGATGTATTAGCTAATGTATTTAAAGAAGATATTCTTCCAATACTTATGCCTATTTTAAAAGAAACACTTTCATCTACTGAATGGGAAGTCAAAGAATCTGGAATCTTAGCTCTAGGAGCTATTGCTGAAGGTAAAACTTAAAAAGCTTTTTTGAAATGAAACATCTTAATTATTGTAATATCAACATAGGATGCATGAATGGTATGATACCACATTTAAATGAACTTATACCGTATATGATAAATCATTTGAGTGACAAAAAAGCATTAGTTCGAGCTATCATATGTTGGACACTTTCTCGTTATTGCCACTGGGTTGTTAGTCAACCACATGAATTATATTTAAAATCAATGATGCATGAAGTAAGTGTATTAGATTACTTATAAAATTAAATCTGTATTCTAAAAGTTTTAAAATGATAAATACTAAATTGTATTGTTTCTTCAAAAATTTTTCTGATTTTTATGTATTTATAAAGAGCATACAAGACCATAAAATATAAATAATAAGTTTAAAGTTCTTAGTGTATGTAAAACTATTTGGGCTGATGAAAATAGTACAAATAATGTTGGTAATAAATTTAATAAAATTAATTTTTAAATAAAATATCTGTGTTAGTAATATATCACAATTTGAAATCTACGAATCCTTGATTTCTTATTAATTCTTTTGAGTTATTTTATTAACAAGTAAAAATAAAGCTATGTGGATCTAAAATAATTTTAACACCATATGTAAAAATATATTTGGATTGGATTTAATTAAAATATGAATTTTTAAAATCTTTTATTAATATAATGAAACAAAACTTAATTATAAAATAATTTCATTTGCTAAAAAAAGCAGCTTTTTTTTTCATTATGAATCAAATTTTTAGAATAAATGTTAACACTATAGGAAGTTAAAAACATATTTATAAAGATCATGCTTTGTACTTTTCGTTAAAATGTTCTTTTTTATTTTTGATATATATCTTGTATATACTTAACAAATTTATTTATAATTAGTATTTTCCTATGGTTTCCTATTAATATAAAATTGATAATGTTTTTAAACAAAATGAGTTTTATGTAGGTACAATGTTTCAATATATTATATATTATATTTTATGTTATAAAAAATTGACTACTATTGAAAATACTTAGAATTATATAAGTATTAATTGTAGAATTAAAACAGTACTTACTACATTAAATTTTCCAAAAAGAAATCTAGATAACTAACATTTAATTTGTTTATTGTATTATTAAATTTCAAATTTTAAAAAATTTAAACAAATATATACTATCATGTTGATGTGCTATACTTTTTGTATCTTTTTCAAACATAAAATGTATTTAAATTTCTACTATTATTTGTGTAATTGATTCAATAATAGGGGTAAAAAAATTAAAATATATAGCAAATGTAAAGATGATAATATTAATTGAATAATTTTTGAATAAATATATTTAATTACAATTTAAACTTAAATTATTTTTTGTAAATATGTAATATGTTAATAATTTTATTATTATAAAAAAAATAACAATATTTTATGAAACATGTATATTAACATGTTTATTGCTTATTTTAGTTACTTAAACGAATATTGGATTCCAACAAAAGAGTTCAAGAAGCTGCATGCTCTGCTTTTGCCACATTAGAAGAAGAAGCAACTACTGAACTTGTACCATATTTAGGATTTATTTTAGAAACATTAGTCTTTGCTTTTAGCAAATATCAAGTAATTATAAATGGAAATAAGTTTTAATTTAATGATAATGTAAATAATATATGTGCATTTACAATTTATATTTTAGCATAAAAATTTACTGATTTTGTATGATGCAATTGGAACATTGGCTGATTCAGTTGGTCATAATTTAAATAAACCAGAGTATATTAACTTATTGATGCCTCCATTAATTCAAAAATGGAACGCATTGAAAGACGAAGATAAAGATCTGTTTCCATTATTAGAAGTATGCATTTATATATATTAAATGAAATATTAAATAATTGATTTTTTTTTTTTTTAGTGTTTATCTAGTGTTGCCACAGCATTACAATCTGGATTCATGCCATATGCTGAGCCAGTATTTAAACGATGTATTTCTCTAGTCGAACAAACATTAAACCAAAATATAGTAAGTATAAAATTATAAATTCAATTAATTTTTTTTAAATTAAATATTAATTTTTTGAATATTGTAATTATTTTAAGGCAAACTCTCAAAGTCCAGACCAGTTTGATGCACCAGATAAGGATTTTATGATTGTAGCTCTAGACCTACTCTCAGGCTTAGCAGAAGGACTAACAACATTTATTGAAAGTTTAATAAATGGTTCAAATACATTACAATTGCTTTATCAGTGCATGCAAGATCCATTAGCAGAAGTAAGGCAAAGTTCTTTTGCTCTTCTGGGAGATTTGACAAAAGCATGTTTTCAACATGTACATCCTTGTATAGGTATAATTATTTAATACATATATTTAAATTTAAAATTAATTAATTTAAATTACCTACTATATTTTAGTTGTATTAGTTGATTAATAATATTAAGTATTAATTATAATTTATAATTTTTTTAGTATTGAATAGTAACTAAATAGCTTCTAAAATACAGAACAGTGGTTAGAAAGGGGATAAAAAAAAATTTATAATACATTTATATCTAGTGTATACAATTTTATAATTTATCATAAAAAATCAAATACTTATTTTAAATTGTGTAATAGTAGTTGCTGCATTTTACTCTTAACACATCGTCAAGATGTAAATCAGTAAGCCATTTTTTGTACACATTTTTTGCATGTTTCATCTTTGAATGTGAAATCTTATATAGATATGTTGATGTGAACATTGTTAGCTAAGGTTTTAGTAATATATTTCTGTATTGTTTTGTATTTTTTAGGCACTAAATTCCTAAATTCAATTGTTATCTTTTTTTCTTAGAAAATAGGAGAGTATATATAACAGAATCATAGTAAAATTGTTAATTTTTATTAATGAACTATATTTTTATCTTAAATCCTGTTCTTAAATAGTAACACCTTATATATTATGTCATTGAATTCAAATTTTTATTATTATTTATATAACTTAGATTTCTAGTAGAAAGTTATTAATCTAATTTAAGTTTATAATATATTTTTAATTTTTCAGCTGATTTTATGCCAATATTAGCTCAAAATTTAAATCCTGATCATATCTCAGTTTGTAATAATGCTACATGGGCAATAGGAGAAATTGCAGTAAAATTGGGTAATTGTATTGATTATTACTAAATGTTATATAAATACAGGATTATTCAATTTATCAACAAAAAGTTGATAAATGGGATAATGAGATTGAGTAGAATAAGACAGTGTTATTGACATGTACTGTTGCCATTCAATCCTCAATCACGGGAGGGTCTCTTTATACACATAAGCCCAAAAATTTGACAATTAACTGTTGTTAATCTAACCTTACAGTTGTTATACTATAAAAAAAAACCTGACAAAACCTCTCTTTTTATTCTTTAATAATAAATTTGTTTAAATAAATACATTTAGGGTTTTCTTTTTTTATCATATTTTCAAATTATTTTTTTTTAATACCAACTAAGAAATTTTCTATTGTATTAACAACTTTATAGAAGTGAAAAAGTACACCATCGTTTGATTATAAATTCAAATTGAGTAGTTTTTGAGTTATTAAACTTTATGTTTTAACTAATTTTTATATAGTTATTTTTTTTTTTAATAAAGGTGAATGTAAAACATAAAATCTATGTAATATTTAGTTTTTGGATATGGAAATAGTGATTAAAATTATATAATTTTATTAATTATTATAATTTGATTATCAAACCATTTATGATTGTTTATTATATTATATACATACATTAAGTTAAATAACTTAAAATTTACTCATTTAAATTATGATTTAGATACATCGACATTTTTTTTTTTAATTTGCCTCCTTAATGGCTTATAGAATTAAGGGCATTTTTTTAATAGCATAAAATTCAAAGTATTTTAATGTGTGATTTTCAAATAAACTTAAAAATTTCTTAAATTTGAAATCGAGTAAAAAAAAGAATTAATATATTTTGTTAATAATTCTGTTTAATTATAGTTATTAATTTTTTTGTGTATTCTAATAGGTACTGAAATGCAACCATATGTACCAATAATTTTAAATCAATTAGTAATAACTATGAATCGGACAAATACACCTAAAACTCTACTAGAAAATACAGGTAAATATAGATAAATTCTAGGTTCATTAATATGTTAATTACTTAAATAAATATATTTTTGTTAAATTTTTATATTTTTCAAGAATAAAAGTAAAAAATTGTTTAAGATTAAAGTGTTAATTAAACGAGTGATAAAGAAATTATATATGCTACAGATTCTACTTTAAAAATCATTTAAACTTAAAAAATATTTTATTGTACTTGTAAGTTATTTTTTTAACTTATGATACTGAAATTTTCATCATATTTTTATTAGTCGCTGAGTATTAAATATGAATTTTTGTTAACTTATTGTAGTTATTATGGTCTTACAAGTCAAACATTTAAAATTATTATTGTTAGAATGAGTTTTGCTAATTATTCATTCATATTATATTATCATCATTATAATAATTTTTGAAGTTTATAAACAATTTTATGACATATATTTTTAAAAACAGTCCATCCTTAAATGCAATCATTAATTGTTGTATTATACAACATGTATAAATATTACTTAATATGTACTTTAATTACAAAAAAATAAAAATAAATAAATAAATAACCAGTCTAGAACTATAATATAATATATTTCTTTAAATAGTTTATAGTTGATTAAATTAGTAAGATAATATTATAATTATTAATTTTATCTCTTTTCAACTATACAATAAACACACAGAAAAATTTAAATTTTAAAAGTTGTTTTGCATATTTTATTTAAATACAATTTACTTAAGTATTTTATAAATTGATAATAATTATTAACATTAATTTTATTTATATAATCTTTTAGGATTATCAATCATTTTATCCAATAAATGTTAAATAATATTATTTAATTCTCTTAAGTTTTGGTTGTAGACATAAGTTTTGATCTTAATTAGGTGTATTAATTTTATTTTATTTAAAAAAAAAAAAATATTGTATATATTATGGTTTACTATTTTATTTGTCATTTGATGGATTTATTTTTTATTAGTTTTTTCGTTTTTTTTTTTGTTTTTTTTTTTTATAGCAATTACAATCGGCCGACTAGGTTATGTGTGCCCTCAAGACGTCGCCCCGCTGTTACAACAGTTTGTACGCATGTGGTGTGTACCAATTATTTGTTTTTACTTTTTTTATTACTTATTTATAATATATTTTTATTATTTATTTTATTTATAATTTTATTATTTTAATTGATTAATTATATATTAATTATTTACATATTGGTTTGGTAACACAAAATGTGCATCTTATTTACTAATAACAAATATTTATGTTTAATAATTTAAAATTGTTTTTTGTGCATTGCTAATATTATTTTTGTTCTAGGTGTACTTCATTGCGCAATATCAGAGACAATGATGAAAAAGATAGTGCATTTAGAGGTATGTGTCAAATGATTAGTCTAAATCCTGGTGGAGTAGTTCAAGATTTTATATTCTTCTGTGATGCTATTGCTTCATGGATAAATCCTAAAGATGACTTAAAGGATATGTTTTATAAAGTAATTATTTATGTTCATGACTTATATAAATGCCCATTTAATATTATTTATTTTTATAGTTAAATATTTAAAATTTTATTGTTATTTAGATATTACATGGCTTTAAAAATCAAGTTGGAGAAGAAAATTGGACTAGGTTTACTGATCAATTTCCTCAACAGTTGAAAGAACGCCTATCAACTGCATACGGAATCTAAGACAACTCTGTAAGCATAATTATTATTTTTTTCTAAATTAAAAATATGATTAATAATTTACTTCTATTTTACTAGGAAATTTGGGGCGCAACATGGGTGAATCCAGCGTTGCATCTTTTGGGGTTTTTTCAACAGGCTTTGTGCTTGAGACCTGGCTCGTCTTGTAGGACCTGCGGGAGGGAAGGGAGGGGGGGATTATTACAAAATCAATAATACCTAACAAGTTCTTTTGTTTTATGTTCTAAAATTTGTTTTATGTGATAATTTTTTCACAATCAAGTTTCATCTATTTTGTCAATTTAAAGTGATACAACTGTTTGTATGATCAAATTTTATAAACTATTATTATTTTATCTTCTACAGTTGATTATTATTATTATTATTATTATTATTAATAGTTTTTTATGTTTGTTTTCTCAAACAATTATAAATAATTTGTATTTGTAGAATGCTTAATAACAGTTTTTTTTTTTTTTTTGTAAAATCGGGCCTATTAAACCAAAATGCTTGAATGATACTAGTTGCCCATTTGTTATTTCCTTTTTTGTTTGGGCTTCTAAATTCCTTATAGAATTGAATCCTCCATTATTCATTAACTCCTTAAAGTTCCTTAATTACCAACATTCCAGAGTGGATCCCTCTTCCTTTTTCCTCATAAACACGACCATCATTTTGGGAAACAAGTATTTTGGAATTTACTTAACATTTTACTAATCATTCACTATTGATTAACATCATAATTAAATCAGTTTCTAGTCTGATGTTTTTTTTGTAAATTATCTACTTTATAATTGTGTTTCTTTTTTTTTTTTAAGCAAAATGTTATTATTTTATTATTGAAAAATTAGATAAAAGATAAATTAAGTAATTATTTGCTATTATGAATTAATTTTGTTGAATGTGAAGGCCTGTTTTAATTTTACATGATATATTAAATTGCAAAATCAGTTGTTCTTATGTAAACAATTATAATATATGACTTTCAAGACTATTTAATCTTATTTACTATAAAATCATTAGCATATTTTTATATATTTGTGTATTTCACTATAATAAATATGTTTCTTGTTGATTAGATTTATAATATCTGTTATCAAATTATTGACATTCTATACTCTTTGGAGTATAAGAATGAACCTTAGAAGTTAAAATCATAACACAGTAAGTTGTATCATATCGTAATCTTTGTGGTATAATATAGTAGTTAGGTTTAACAATCTTGGATAAAATAAGTTGTTGCTAATACCTTTCCATATCAAATAAAAAGTTCAAAATTATGTTTGTTATTCAGTATCGTATTAAAAATAATAATTATTGTAGTATTGTATACTGATCACTAAATAATTCATTCAAATAGTTTTAGACGTTTAATTAAATATTTATAAATCAATAGATATTGTATTATTTATTTATATTCATTAATTTAGTTGAAGCCTAGTCACGTATCAATTAATGTGCTCTCAATTATTTCAGTAAAGTTTGACCTCTAGTAATTTAAAATATTTACTTAAGGTATTATTTAACTTTTTATGTGTGAATGACTGCAATAGGAACATTATACTTATTGGATATTTGGTTTTATTATTATTTACTAAGCAGTTATTTATTTTAACACAACTTCATTGATAAGTTGTAAACTAGGACTAATATTTTTCAATATATTCTGTGCTTGTCGTATTAGGATTGCATACAATTGAATGAGCTTTATTGCTACTTTAAACAACAATTTTAATTGTGATATTAAATCAAATAAAATAGTAAATAGAACATTCATAAATTTATAATTTATTTATCTTTATTATATAACATAAATATACATATATGGTAAAAATATATAAACATTTTTAATTTCAGAAAACAGTTACAATTTATTGTCATGGTAATGTATTTTAATTAAATAATAAATTGTGAAAAAGTATAACAGTTAATATATTAATGTAAATATAAATAATAATACTTGTAAGTTATATATTAAACTGTAGTTCTGAAAAATAAATTAGTAGTGTTTGTTAATATCAAATAGGATATTAGTATTTATTAATGACTAGAAGTGAGCCATAACCAAAAGGAACAAGAATATTATAAATTAGTAATTTTATAAAATTAAATGTATCCATAGTTCTAGTTAAAAAAATCGAAGGTCAAATAGATTTTTATAACTAGTTTATCATAAGATAAAAAAATTTTACTTATAATAAATGATAACCTATGAAAATGGTAGAAAAAATAAATAAGAAATAATTGTCTTTTAACTGCAATGTTTATGAAATTAAGACAGAGATTGAGTATCCAATATAAATTATAATATAAAATCATAATTTTAAGTTATTTTCAATTTTTTTTTTTAAGTTGTCAAAAATAAAAGACAAATATTCTAAAATAAAATTCTTTAAACATTACTCTGCATTATCAAATTACTTTAAAAAAAAAATATTATTAATAATTATGTATTATAATTGAGAAAGGCAGTGAATTATGTTTTGATATCACAAATATAACTATTTTTTTTTCCATACTTGAACATCACTACTGACATATCCAACAACTAAAGTATCATTTTGATAATCAATCTAAAAATCAAATACATATTTTTAGTTTAAAAAATTATGATATATTATAATAATTTAAAAATCTACTTACAGAAGTTATTTCTGAACCAGAATCAACAATTTTGGCTATAACTTTTGGTGGGTTTGTTGGAGTTAAAATGTAAACAATTCCTTCGTTACCCCCAGTTATAATACTACCATAATTAGTACATTTAATGCAATTAAGCTTGTAATTTCGACTGTCATTTATGGGCTTTACAAGTTTTACAGTCTGAAAGAAAAAATCTATTAAGGTTATTAAATAATACTTGGGGATTAAAACTCAAACATCTACCTCAAGAACATTGAATAATCCATGTGAACAGTCCAACCAGTACATACAATCTCGATTATCACCAATAAATAGTATATTATCATAGTAGGAAGCACACATTGGAAATCTACTGCCCTGCTGCATAAATGTCAAAAAACAATAATAATCTTGGTAAAAAGTTTATAATTATGAGTTTCTTTTACTTTAGAGAGGTACATAGATTTGACAGTATTATTTGTGCGCAAATCCCAAATAGATACAGTCTTGTCTTCACTCAACGATATCAAATAATAATCTTCTATTAAGCATAAGTCAATAATACTACGTGTATGAGAATTTAGTAGTTCAAATAGCCGTTTTTCAGGTTCGCGAGGATCAAATGCAATAATTTTAGGACTGTAAAGTCCGGCAGCAACAAAATTTTCTTTATTAGTAATTGACAACACAGCTGCATCAGTACTGCACAAAAAACATTAGTATTTTATGATCATATTATTCTTAAACAACTATAAATGTATTTTCAAATTGCAATTACCTAAATGTTTGTATTGGTTGTGAAATTTGTGTGAAGTTGTCAGTATTCCAAAGTTTGACTTTTGAATCCCAAGAACATGATAAAAAATGATGATCATCATAAATTTCTAAATCCCATACCCATCCTAAATGGCTATCTATTTTGTGCACCACGGGATTATTTGTACCTATCGTGGTGTTCCACAAGCATATAGAACGATCTCTCGATGCAGAAATACAATGATTACCATCCTGAGAATATTGTTAACAAATTATATACATATGTTCTAGTTTAGTCATCTTAAAATATTTACTCTAGCCATAATAACAGCATCCACTTCGGAAAAATGAGCTCCACTAAAAACAGTGGTAGTAGTTTTTGTCTCATATTCGGCCCAACAACTGTCTTCCAATTCCGTGTGCCAAGTAAATTGCTTCCAATTAAATGTGTTTTCTGTGAAATGGAAACAAACAAGGAATACCAAAATGTATTTTCAACACCAATGCACATTGACCGCCATCTAGCCTCACCGTTGTAAACGCTTGTCAACATGAACGCCACATTGCAATCGTTAAATGTACGCATGGCTCTTTTCTTCCACAGATAGTTGTCACTGATTATTTCATAGAATTGCTTGTTGACGTACATCAACGATTTAACCAGTGTGTCAGCATCAATGCGTTCACAAATCATTAGGAATACCTGAGAGGTAAAAATATCATGTAAGTGAAATAATAATTTACAGCACTTCATAAAGCCAATATACTAGTTTGTTACAGCGCAAAGCCATCGAGAAGCTATAACTATATTATTTAATTAATGCTATTTATTGTATTCAACAAGACATACAAGTTGATCAGGAGTGTGTTATAGTCATACCACCCATGGCCGTTTCTAATGAAACACCGCCACATTTAAATTGTCTATCTTTCCCACACACACACAAAAATTATACAAACTCCCAATAAAGTAGGCACTCAAGTCGTAATTTTTGTCAAATTCGGTCATCAATATAAAAGAAATAATCACCGCGAACTGAGGGCGCCTTTCAGAAATGACGTCCATGGCCTATTAAGTATTTACCTCGATGGGAAGCGAATCCAATGAAATCGTAGACAGCGTTTCGGCCCCAGCGGAGTTCTCGAACGAATTCATTTCAGATCGGTACGTGGCAGGTAAACACGAGTTTTGTAAGGGGAAGACAAGACACTTTGCGAGATTGTGTGTATAGGCAGGGTAGAACGGTAATTTGTGCACAGTGTTTGGCGTTATGGCGGGCTGATGATCCGTAGAAATCTATTCACGTCGGCCTCGAAAGGAAATTTTTTGTGCAAGTCGGCCATCAACATTTATTTAAGCATTGGTCGACCGTCAAAATTTACGATCCGTGACCGTCTGGGACGAACTCAGTGTAGTGTGTAGTGTATACTGACTACTGACTCGGTTACTGATCATCTACACGTCTAGTGTGTAGTTTCTGAATAGTGAATAGTGAATACTAATGACTACTACTTGATGAGCTGATAACGATGAAACCGTAAAGTTTGAAGTTTTCACTATAAATTATAAAATAGTTTTAGTAATATATATTATATATTTATATATAAATATAATGTACAATGTAGTTCTGTTAAGGTAATGTTTACATTGTAAATTTGTAAACGAAACATTATGACTTTATGAGGTATCCGCGACACAGCTGATGGCAGAACAGCTGATACATTTCGTTTGTGTACAACACAAATTTTAATTCAAGTTTAACGTTGTTTGCAATGAGTATGTCGAACCTCGAGATACATTAAATCATTAAATGTAATTCATTCCTTGTTTGTTGTACAAAATAGTCGTTTTTAGGGATTTGTTAAGCTCCAACAAACGTTAGGGTGATTAGTAGGATTCAGATCAAATGTTAATGCACAGCCACCGCAAACATCGGTACCTACTACCAATTGTTTTATAATTTTGATGAAAGCGATCGACAACATTAAATCATAATTCACCATAATAGGTACACATAATATGTTTTAATACTAAACGAGTGTCAAAGCGCGTTGGATACATTTAATATTCTATTAAAAGTTTTCTACGTGCGTTGTGTGTATCGCAATAAAATCTATTTTCTCACAATGAGCACAGTCGTATGACATTCTAAAGATTTATCAACAGTGGGTAGCAGTTAAAATCTCAGATTTTCGTGTTATAGTAGGTTGAATTACATTACATATATAAATCCGTGGTAGTTGAAAATAATTACCTATATAACAAATATGGACATTGGCACTAAACCAGTTATCATCATCATCATGTACCTACATAATACATTCATATCCAACAACTGGCTTACGTCTTTGTTCGAGCATGATTCTGTTCTTTTTTTTAAATTTTATTTCCATGATTACAATTAGGATTGAATAAAATTTCTTTGTCACCATATGACCTTGGAATTTCTTGAATCCATAATATTACACTCTATAATGTACTTGTAATTTTGTTTTAATTTTAAACAATGAACATTAGAATTGTTTTCATATAAGATATATTTTTTATGGATTAATAGTATTTTATAAAGACAGATTTATTTGTTAAATCATGAAATGATTGGATTTAGGTTACTTAGATATAATTATTATGCCTCGGGACTATGTATAATAATATATAACATTATTATATTATATAACAGCACAATTTAAAATTAATTTTATAATGTGGTAATTATACAATAAAGAAAATAAAATACTGACTTAACAGTAGATTACAAGTGTTTGGATTATAACAAGACATGTTATTATACATTTGTCATGTTTGTAATCCAAGCTTTTACTTTTTTTTTTTGAATAAAATAAAAAATAAATTAGATAATATATTTTTATATTTAATGCAAAGTACATTTTATACTTATATCCTATAGCAAATCAATATTATCTAATAATTTTTCACATTTAATCAATCTAGATGCTGTCTTCCGTTGTTTTTTAGCATTAGCTTTTTGTAATTTTTTCAGTTTTAAAACACCAGGTTGTAAATCAATTTTCATTTCATTAGGCTCAGATTTTTTCTTTTTCCTCCATCGTAATTTTCCCGATTTTTTTGCTTGTACACCATCATCAACTACTACCATTGATTTACCATCTACATCCATTGTATCTGTTTTCACTCCTTCACCAGTTGATTCAGGTTGAAACTTGGCAAGTTCTTCCATGAATTCTGTTTCTATTCGTTGCACATTATCTAAATTAAATACATCTGTTACATCAGTAACAATTTGTGCACTTAAGTGGACTGTTTCATTTTCTGGTGGAAGGGTATGATACCTTATTTTTCCTCTAAAATAAAATATTCATTATAAGATATTAAAAAACAAATTATAAATCTTATTAAAACAGTATAATACATACCGATTCCAATCTTCAACCAAGCTGCGGGCTGATGTAAATATATCCGGAATTCCACCTCGACCAATGTTTCCAAATCGTCTAGCTTTTAAATACAAAAAGTGTTCACATGAATCATATTGTCCAATTCCGTATAACTTTTGCATCTATTCAAACAAAAAATGTACTTCCTTAATTATGGTGTTTAATAAAACAATAAATACAAATTTATTTAATGTATTTTCAACTATTTTTTAAATTTAGATATCTTTATTTTTTTAAATATAAAAACTAGATAATAGATCACATTTGATGTTTATAAAATGTATACATAGACAAATGAAAAAAATATCTTACATGTAATGTTGGATAGTAACGTAATAAAAATGATTTTTTATAAGTTATGGGTAAAATATAATAACTTACTGTTTTGAGTACTAAGAAATTTTTTTTTTTTTAAATTTATCAAAAAAATTAATAATTCTAGAAACATCTATAATGGGTGATAATACAGTGGTTGGAAACCAGCTGTCAGTGGACTTTTTTATACTACACAACTATTTAATAAGGCCTGTTTTAAAATGACAAGTAAATTGAATATTTTGTATTTAACATGATATACCTTAGGAAACTTTTATTTCTGGATGTAGCCCAAGAGTTTAAATAGGTTGCTGATTACTGTTGTAATATATTAATTTTAATTTTATATAACATTTTTAAAGCACACCTTAAACTTTAAAAAAAATTATTTATAACTAATCAAAACTTTGCTTTCATAATTGAGAAGTATATAAAACAATTAAAAATGTCCATAAAACAAATAATATCTTTAGTTAGCAGTTAAGTAATATACTATGACTGATTTACAGAAATGTAAATTATGTACCTGATCTTTAGTTACACGTCCCACAATTGTAGCAGCACAAGCAATAGGATCTTCAATATTTCCAGAACTTACAACATTTTTTAATCCTACGCTATTGGTAGTAGATGTTTTATCTAAAACTACACCTGGACAATCTAATAGTTTAATATGTTTGTCCAACTGGATTTCTTGCATGTTCCTAAAATTGAATTTTTAAATCTGTATGTTTAACCATTAATAATTAAATTATTGCTTGGGTTTAATAAAATTAAAATAAAATAATAATACTTGGTTACACCAGGAACAGCTCCAACTTGACATGCTCTGGACCTTTTTAAACTATTAATCAAACTACTTTTACCAACATTAGGCATACCTAAAACAAATTTTTATCATCAATATCATAATTTATTGCAACAAAGTTTAAATAAAAAGAAAAGTATACACGTATGGTGAGATGATATGATTAATAATTGTAATTATAATTTACTATAAATTTATTTCTTAGCAATTTTTCTTACCTACAACACCTACAACAATTGATGTTTTCATTTTGTCACTACGGCAGTAATTGGCTAAAAGTGTCATAACTAATTCTGCACCAACACACAAACTAACAGCTTTTTCTGTATCTTTTTTACATTTATTCATTTTTCTATGACCAATTCGTGAACCAGCTTGTTGAGTACTAGCTTTAAACGGTAATGCTGGAGTTCCTAATTGCCCTCTGAAATAAGACAGCCAATCTCGAACTATTTCAGCTGGAACCAAGTCAGTTTTGTTCAATACCACAACAAGTTTTTTTCCCAAGTCTTGTGCTGATTCAATCACTCGTTTACATCTAGTTCCTAATGGATCACGTGCATCGACTACCTCTAAAACAACATCAGCAGCACTAACCACCTAAATAATTAATAACTTAATTTAATAGTTGTTAAAATATAAAAATAATTTGAAGTAAAATATATTACTTTTCTGAATTCATCTTTAAAGGTTTTGTTATCCAATTTCACAACATTTTTATAACCAGACTCTTCTTCTACATCTTCAACTTCAACAAATCCAGCTTGCATGGATTCAGTTTTTTTTACAAACTCAGCTAATGTCTGGGATAAAGGAAGTGGTTCAGGTATTTTTTCAGGTTTTTTAGGTGCAGAAGCTTTTTGAACATTTGCTGCTCGTATTGATTCTAACTTTTTTCCTGTGAGTTGGCAGATAATATAAAATGTACAATAATTTAATTATTTTTATAAAAAGTAGGTACATGCATAATAGTAGTACACTATTAAACATCACATAATACGTAATGAACTAAATAAAATTTTAGTAATTTAAAAAAAAAACAAAGTGACAAACCTTTTTTCCATTTTAGAAATGCTCTTCGATTTTTTGATTTATCTATAAGTTTTATAAAATGTATACATTTAAATTAATACAGATAAATTGAACAATGTAAATAAAGTTAAAAAGGAAAATATTGTATACGTACTAGCTTTTTCAATACCCATACTTCAGCCAAGGTTCAAATTTGTTCTAAAAAAATAAATAAAATGTATAGTTAATGTAGATAGACACGTTTACTTGTAATTAAATTTTCTTAAAATAGACAAGGGTTGATATTTTATAAAAGATGCAAATCATAATAATACCTTATATATGATTAGAACGAAAACTCAGATCAATGAGAAAAACCACAAAACACAAAAAGAATCAAAATATTTATTATTTTCAAATCATGTCTATGAAAAAAAACCACGTTGTAGATAACATTTTTATTTTTTATCTTGATATCTTAAATCGTAGTAGTATTATTATTTTATCACTCGCTAAATTTACGACCACAGAATTACCATAGAGGACACTTTTTGAGTTTAACACGGGTTCTTATGGGGTACAGATTTGCAATACCTGTTGAAATTTCAGTGTTGCCGGTAGAAAGATATTTCCCGTTATTCTATTTTTCATGGGGCACTATTTTCCAAAAATTCTATATGTAAGCATCAGCAAATCAGTGTGATTAGACAAAAAGAATTTTACATATTTGATAAATTGATGGATACACTGACATTCCAACAAATTGAACAGAATTTTGAATGTTCAAAAAGTGTCCTTTCTGGTTATTCTGTAGTCTGTACTTCTGACACTTCTGTAATCTGTAGTACGACGATAACTTCAGTTGGCGCGTGACAAGTTATCGGATTTATAATCTCGATATATTCAAAAACTTAAACTGAAATGTTTGGTATCCTGAAAAGTCATTAAGCGTATTGGATTATTTTTAATATCCGTATAGACTTTAGAAAATCTTAGTCAAGTGCATCGGACTACGACGATGAGTAACGTGGGCACATTTGCGGAATTTATCGGTAGCAAGGTAAATAAGGTGAGATGGAAGCCAGATGACCTGATGGCATCGACAATGTTTGTTACCGGTTCATGGGACAACGAAAAGGTGAGATTTATAGATTGGTGTGTAGATTTATATGAACGAGCGTTTCATTTATATTATTCCTCTTACAGGACAACGCATTGGATTTGTGGGAACTGACTTCAGAAAACGAAAATTATGCCAAAGATTTCCCTCCAAAACTTTTGGATCGTGTACAGCAAAACGGAAATGTTACACAAATTAGAGTATGCATAATTTATTAGTATTATTCACATTAATAACAGTTTGTAATGTTTGATAAAGTGTAAACTAGTGAAGTCTTGATAGAAGATGAAATATTCTTATTCCATCACTCGTACATATATTAGATGTAAACTCTAATTTTTTCTTATTATTGATGTTAAAGAATTTAATAAATTATCGATAACTTATTTACAGTTATTGATATTTTAAATTATTTATTTATTTAATAACAATAAATGTTATACAGTTTTTATAAGATTAATTAAATATTATTTATTGTTGTTTCTAGTTTTTAGACAACAAGTTTGTAGCTGTTAGTACTGACAATGGATCAGTTAAAGTATATCGTATCATTGGCGAGAATGAAGATTCTAATATTCGTCTTAATGAAGTCATGGCTTGGGAAACACTGCATTCATTTGGGTAAGTTAATAGTTTTATTTTACTTTGATTTTTGAATCATTTATACATGTTATAGAAATTATATTGAAAAGTTATCATTTCTAAATTAATAATTTTAATTAGAATATAAATACCTATGAATTAATGCTGTGATTTAATTTTCCTTTATCTAGTATGACTTGAATTTAATATATTATTATTTACAGTAAAGGACAGAGATGTTCTTGCAAGGATCTTGCTGTATGTAACTATACATTGGCAACCGTTGGTGATGATTATAAACTTAATGTCATATCATTAAACACTAAACAAATTCATCAAGTTTTAGGTAAGTTAATATTTTATTAATATGCGTTGATTTAATTTGTTACATATTATTTTAATGATTCAAAAATTTTAAATAAATATTTACATGAAATATGGATGTTTAATTATTTAGAAGGCATAAGTAGCTCACCTTTAACGTGCATTTGTTTCTTAACTGATGCTGAAGTTCTATGCTGCAATTCACTAAGCCAAATGAAACTTTGGGATTTACGAGTTGCTACAAGTAGTATAACTGCCAACATCAATAATTTCACTCAGGTAATATTAATAATAATTATGTTATTTTTTACACAAAATATTTTATTCATCTGGATTTTAGACTCAAGTTCCAATAACATGTGTTGCTCAACATCCTAGTCAAAAGCATTTTATTTTCACTGGTTCTGAAGAAGGAGATGTTGGCGTTTGGGACATGAGAACTAACAGCTTATTAACTACTATGAGTAGTGGTGATGCATCATCACTTACTGAAATAGCATTCCACCCTTTAGAACCGGACCATTTGTTTACATGTTCATTTGGAGGAAGATTATTACAATGGAGTTCTAAAAAATCTTATATGTGTCGTATTGACCCAGGTATATAGAATTGTACATGGATATTAAAACTAATAAGATAATTAACATATTTTTATGACACATAATAAAAAAACAATTATGTGATATAATTTTTTTTTATGTATTTTAAATCAAATTATGTTGATTTTCAATCGTAATATTTAAAAATAAAGTCTTAATCTGTCATAGAATATTTATGTTAAAATTAAAACAAGATAACCTATTATATACAATAAGTTTGTTAAACAGGTGGAAAAAGAGCATAAAAAGTACAAATCTTCAAATTGTATACAGTCCTGGGCGTCCCCCAAACATTTTTATAGGGGGGGGGGGAAATTAATTTAAAAAATAAACGAAGATTTTTTTATATATTTTATTTATAATACATTATTATGTTTTGTCATTATTACATTTAAGTATTGTTATTATACATTTTATTTATAGAATATTATTATTTTTTGTTATTATTACATTAAATTATCACAATTAGGTAATATATTTAAAATTCTTGAGGGGTAAGTACCCTATCTTGCCTCCCCTGGGGTCGCCCATGTATACAGTTGTCGTATCAGATTAAGCACTTGATATACAAAATAGTATTGACTGGGTAACAATCATAATTGCTGCTGACCACTAACCTCAAAAAATTGTCTATGTAGCTAGGCCTAGTTTTGCCCATGATAAGAATTAAAACATTGATGAATGACGTAGTTTTGTAATTTTAATTATAATATAATTAATTTATGTTTTAGGAGATATGGAATATTCAAATTTTTGGGTGAACACAGACAAGGTAAAAACACGATTGTCAATCAATGATGTAATACAACCAATTTATATGCCAATAAACTCATTGGATATACAAAAACAACAACTTATTTGTGGTGCTGACAATGAAGCAGTTTACTTTCAACGTAATCTTAAGCTTTGAATTTAAATATAATTTAAAAAAACACATTATTTAAAAAAAAAATCATTAATTAGTTTATTTAAGTTTCAATATGTTAATAAAAATAAATTAAATTACTTTTCTTAAAATTGTGTAGGTTGTTTTTAACATAGGAATATTCAAATAGTTAAACTTTTTCCTTTAATTATTAAAAATAATCTTGTTCTATAAACATATTGAAATACATTGAGATTGATATTTATAACGTTAAAAGTTATGAATGTGACTATAACTTAAGTATGTATCCTAAGACTATTTTAATTCTAAAATTTACTTTTATAATAATACTAATTATTTTATACTATAATGTTTTAACTTAAGTATTTATTATCTCTAAACAATTTTTAGTTCATAGAAAATTAATGACATACGTTATTTTTGAGATGATAAAAAACGTAATATATTACACAAGTATTTCAAGTCCCCTCAAAATATATTTATTTTTTTAAGTTAATAAGTTTTAATATTATGTATTATTTAATTATATATTCTGAGAAATGAGTATATTGATTTTAAAATCACAGTTTTTTTTACAGAGACATTTTTACAGTAAAAGTATATGTTTTCTGGTGAGAAAGTAAATCTAGTTTGTACTGTTTGTAGTTTATGAAGAGGATCAAAAACATTTTTTATTCTGTCAAAAATTTTAAAATTTAGTACTAAGTTCCTTTTAAATTTTTATCATAGATATTTAAAAGTAATAATGTATAAGCATAATTATTAATGAATGTTTAAAGTTTAAATTTTGACAAAATTCGTCTAAATCATGAGAATTTGAAAATTATTGTGTTATGAAAAATGTATTAAGTGTTCAATTTTTATAGCTAAAGCATGACAATTTAATGCAACGTTCATCATAAGTAGTTCATTATTTTATATTGAAATGAACAAATCTAAAAATGTAAAAAAAATTTGTTATAAACATTTTAGTTCAAACTTGATCAACATTTTCAAATTTTAAATGAAGAATATAACGATTGTTATTTTGTTTGTAATTCAAAATTATTATCATAAGCAATCAACTTTTTTTAAACATTCATATTTTGTTCAAGTTAAGGAACATACTCGGTGGCGATCAGTTTTCATGAGATGAGGTTGTCAACATCCATTTGTTATATGTACTTGTCATTATTTAAATGTGTGTCGTATAATTTAGCCAAAACTCTGGGCATTAATCGGTATAACAAGAAACTTTTATTTATTGGTATGGCGTGTAATAATCATTATTTAATTAAAGAAATAATACATAATAAATAATTGGTAATAATAAACATAAACGAGCAAAATATTTAAATAAAATGAAGGTAACAGAATAGGTAGAATTTAGACATTGATATTATAATATAGTGGAATTTGTAGAAAAAGAGCAATTTTTTTTTTTTTAAATGTTGCAAGAATTTGGTACACCTATTGGAGATGAATGGGTACCTACGACAATGTTGTGTTAGGTACAACTCGTATTTAGCGACCTGAATGAAACTTATTCCTGGTGGTCACCAGCTTAAAGAATATGTTGAATTCGTTGAATACGAAAACTTCATACTAATTTGAAGTCGAGTTTCATCGAGTCGCTTACTGATACGTACCTACGCTAGTTTGAAACAGTTAATAAGAGCTTAGAGCATTGTAGTGTTCCTTCGATTGAGTTGGCTGTAGTGCATTTGACTATAAATTTAAATGGCATAGATAAAACAATAGAAAAGTCAATGTTAATCAAGTAATTTTTTTCCTATTATTTTAGGGCTGGGGTTATCTAAAATATATTGTTTATTAAATTTTAGAACTTCAATGGGTAATAATGGTATTGTGTTAATATAAATACGCGAGTTTGGAACGATCCGCAGTCCCGTCGTCGTTTCCTTTTGCGTGTTTTTACCGCCCTTACGACGGTCTTAGAATAGGTGATCATAATAGTTGTTATAATTATAATATCTTAACAGATAGGCACAGATAGGTATCTGCATTCTACATATTATTTTATTAATTAGTTTAAAAATAATAAACCCTTGTATAGATTGTTAAAATAATGATGAAAAAAATCATTAGTTGGTAGGTATTTATATGATTTTTATTAATCGTTGTACAAATAATTGAAACAACAACACCAGTGAAAGCTGATGACGTTTAAAAGAAAATTGCCAATTATTTAATAAAAGTTTTAAGTTTAGAATACGTTCACAGGTTAGTGGTTACCCAGATTACTATTCTGCAGTCTCGCGCGGATCTAATTATATGTTTGCATTTAAGTCGTGGTGTCCGGTATACAAAGGATATTATATACTACACATACCTATTTCATAACATATTAACTGACTGCATATTATTTTGATGGTGGTAGGTATTCAAAAGTGAAAACGAGAAAGAAATTACAACTTTAGTGGTGTGGATGGTGTCAATGTTGAAGTGATTTGAAGACAAAGTTTTAAGGCAGAGTCAGAAAAATTGCTTATATGTGTTTGTGAGATTCTTGAGTTTTTTTTGTAAATACGATTTATGCGGAAACTTGAGTTAATTTGTCTAGTTTCAGTTATTATAATTGAAAATTTTATCCATTTTAACTCCGAAATTATTTACAAATTTTCATAATTAAGTTATAATTAGAACGTGGATATCTGTGCAATTGCATATTTTTTCCCTTTTACTTTTTTGGATTTTTGTCAGTTATCTTTAACAATTTGAATCTAATGGTGAATTTTTTTTTTGCATATTTAATTTTTATTGCATATTAAAGCAAAATTAAAGGAAAAAAATTGTGTAAAATAACATTTTTTCAAGAAGAAATATTAAAAATAATTTTTTTGGCATTAAATAATAACCAGAGCGCGGATTTATATGCTGCAATTGCTTATTATTTTCTTTTTCACTTTTTTAGATTATTTTTTTAGTTATCTTCACGAACCATAATAATTTGAATTTATTGGTAAAATGTATTTGTATATTTTTACAAAATTCAAAATATATTGCATATTAAAACGAATTTTTTTTATATTCTTAGTTTATTTAAGTAATTAATTATTGTAAGTTGTTTAATTTGTAAATTTTATATATATAAAAAAAAAAATAAAAATATTTTTTCATATTTTATAATTTTTACTGCATATTATATGGTATATTTCAATACTTTTTAGTGCATAATAATCCGTGCTCCAAGACGCTCTAGTCATAATGTTAAAAACAAAGTTTATACAATTAAAATATGTGTTTACGTATTTTCAGTATTTTTCTACTACTATGAGTTGTACTCATATTACTTAATAATATATAACTTATGAGGAATTTATGAGAAATCTTATTTTAAATTTTAAAGTACCTATTCGTCAGAGTATAAAAACATGGACAAACATTTTAAGAAAATTAATTTAAAGCGAGCAAGTAGGTACTCTGATGTACATTAGTATACTCTGTCATTCAAAAAGTCACTTCAATATGTTTGTTAAATCGATAAATCATTGTTTACGAAAAATGAACCTGAGTAAAGACAATATTCTGCTACCTAGGTACCTTATTACTATAAGTATATATTATATTATATTTATATATTTCTATGAAAGTAATATTTTTTATTATTAGTAATTTGATAGGTTGATTTAATTTTGCTGAAAATATCATATTTGAAAATGTAATAATATACTTTAAAATTTTTAAGTAATCATAAATATTATTTTTATTTCAATTAGGTACAACAAAATAACTGAAGTCGTTATTCATTGTTTAAATATCTAATTTTATTCAAATTTAAACTTAAAATATCTGTAAAAAATGTTGTTACTATATTTTTTAGTTCTACGTTACAGTATAATATAAATTATTCATGAGAAAGTTAGCATTACACTTTTAAACTTTTTGGCGGAGCGAACATTATTGATCGATATCTATAGAAAAAGCAAACTAAAAAAACTAATAAAATTTTTATAAAAAGCACAAAGCGAGTCAAACTGTTTTTAAAATGACACCATATTATGTTGTAAAAGCCTATATCAACATTTGGCGAAAATCGTAAGTATCTATACTGTTATTCATTTTTGAATTACACTAGAACAAACTAAATTTTGGCTTCGGTTGTCTAAAATTGGCGGCGAGTAAAAATTTTCGTGTTTTTTTCTTAATTTTGTTTTTTTTATTTTCCGATCACCCAGACAATAATTAACACTAAGGATTTCGAGCATAAACGGACTCGTGCGTTTTTGGCTTCTCACAAAGTCGTCATATTTGTTGTACCTAATCATTTCAAACGCGCTCTATACATAAGTAGGTACCGATATATAATACTGTCATTGTAGTGATATTAATTTGAAGTCGACGAGAGGTCGAGAACCGCGGTTACGGGAAACCGCAGCCGCGGTATTTCGTAGGTAGATACGTGTTTCAGTGTTTGCGCTACACACCCGTCCGAGAAGAACGAGTGACGATGGCGCGCGTAAATGTCTTGGCGGCAGCGGGTGCGGCCGCGGACGAGAGCTAAACCTCGTGCGAATCGATCTGCAGGCCCGTCGCGGCGACAGACTAGGCCAACGCACACGAAACACCAGCGCCGGATAATTTTCCTGGGCGTGTACGGTATTTATTGTAACTGCATCATCTCTGTCGACCGTTATACAAATGACTCGCAAACGTCCACAGCCGTGTAATAATATACCTATTATGCGGCAGGGTGTTTTCCGGCGTGGGTGGTTACGTACAGATACAAAACGCGACGTCTCGGAGAACAAACTCGCGAGTCTGCACAGACGGGCACGTCTGCGGGGCACGAGTGTGTGCCTGTTGGCTGTTATTATGATATATTTTGACAGTGACACGGAGAACGCGTGCACGCAACCGTGTTTGTTTTGGTGCCCATCGATAATTTAGTTATTACGACATTAAAATGTTAATATTATGTAGATGACCGTATTGTATACACAGTTTTTCGTCGGGATCGATCAGGTCGCGCAGAAACGTAATGATGTGTTTTGACACCGTAACTGTCCCGTGATATCAATGTGCATCGGTGATCCCTTGCGCGCGTTCTGCGGTCCGGTTCGGTTTGGAGTGAAATTCATCTGTTTGTTTCACTTCGTACCGATTGCGACCGGTTACATCGCACGGTTCGTGCGTAATTCGATAAAAAGAAAATAAGCCCAAACGATCAAAGTTAT